CGTCGTTTTGGATACTGTCTGGCAAATGGATACTGCCTGGCCATTTTGATACTGGCATTGCCGAATGATCTGCTTGGAGACTATAACAATTATATCGAACTGCAGGAATATCAGTGTCGTGATTTAGTTTCTCATGACTGCCTCTTACCAGGAAACATGGTTGTACCGCCGGACAGGACGGCGTTGGCGTACAGGTCCTTACGGATATCGATATCACACTTCATGACTGAATTGTAGGTTGTCTCGTGAACTCCATTCTGTTCCATTCCTGAAGAATAAAGAAAGTTCCCAAAATGTTAGGCTTTTGGATTGGACACAAATTCCTTAATGAGATTTTTAAAAAATAAAAAAAATCAACGCCAATTGGCTGTCATTAACCTGTACGTATAGTTTGTGCATAATCGTTTGATGTCAACAGGAACGGATAACGTATTTCTCATTGAGTGTCTTTTAAAACGTCAAAACTACAAAAGGTATGTAGTGCATAACGGCATACTTGGCATCACAAGTCAGTGAGCAAAAGACATTTGTCTGAAGACTGAACCGGCAGAATGTCTGAAACCCAATACTCATGACTAGCCAACTAGTGATTGTTCTCAACAACTTCAATTCAAATGTCTAGAACGTTACCGAGGAAGGACGGCTGGAAAAGGGCCTCAGGGCAGCGGAACCTCTCGTTCCCGATGGTGATGACCTGACCATCAGGCAGCTCGTAGCTCTTCTCCAGGCTGGAACTCCGGGCAGCAGATTCCATCCTCTGTTCGAAGTCCAGGGCGACGTAGGCCAGCTTCTCCTTGATGTCACGAACGATTTCTCTCTCGGCTGTGATCATGTGAAGAAAGAACAAACAGGTAGCTTTTAGTATTTCTATATTACACACACACACACACACACACACACACACACACACACACACACGCACACCAGAAAGCAGCCTAGGACAGACTAAGGGAAAGTATGGAGCATTTTTGCTGCCCTACATTGAGACACTAAGGAATACGGGATATTGCACACAAAACAGCTGTAGAGCGATTGGTAGGTCATCTATGTGTAGCATGATATAGCATTGGTCTGCTGACAAAATCAAGTGCACACACCTGTGGTGGTAAAAGAGTACCCCCTCTCAGTCAAGATCTTCATCATGTAGTCTGTCAGGTCCCTTCCTGCCAGGTCCATTCGGAGAATGGCATGTGGGAGAGCGTAGCCTTCATAGATGGGCACCGTGTGGGACACACCATCCCCGGAGTCCAGCACGATCCCAGTCGTCCGACCGGAGGCGTACAGGGACAGAACGGCCTGGATGGCCACGTACATGGCCGGGCTGTTGAAGGTCTCGAACATGATCTGAAAATGGAGATGTAGAAACTTGATGTTGACGGTTTGTGTAAGCAGTAAAGTTCACAGTGAGCCTGTTTGCTGCCATTTTGCTTCAACAAGGAAACCAATATGCACCTAATATGGGTCTATATATATTACCAATAAGTTGGCCAAAAGAGACCGCAGACCAACCTGTGTCATCTTCTCCCTGTTAGCCTTGGGGTTGAGCGGAGCTTCAGTGAGAAGCACAGGATGCTCCTCGGGAGCGACACGCAGCTCGTTGTAGAAGGTGTGGTGCCAGATCTTCTCCATGTCGTCCCAGTTGGTGACGATGCCGTGTTCGATGGGGTATTTCAAGGTCAAGATGCCCCTCTTGCTCTGAGCCTCGTCACCGACATAGCTGTCCTTCTGGCCCATACCGACCATCACACCCTGGAGGTTATTGGAAGAAATAGGTTATTAATATTACGTGGTTTATGGTCGTGTAGAAATCTCAATGTAAGATTTTCGTATCTGATCAATCAGAACGGCATATTGCGTACATTCTCGTGTTTGATAGACAAATTATAAATGTGCAACATTTACCTGATGTCGTGGCCTGCCCACGATGGACGGGAAGACGGCCCTTGGGGCATCATCCCCAGCGAAGCCGGCCTTACACATCCCGGACCCGTTGTCCACAACCAGAGCAGCAACATCTTCGTCACACATGTTTGATTACTTGTCAAAACCTGAAAAACAAGAGACGTTGGGTTTTTTTTGGCATCATGTCACTGTACTCATATTTGTAAGTTCCAAGATAACTTCAACCAAGTCTACGACGTATTTAAGAATACCTATTATATTAAGTTGTCCCAGCACCTGCCATGTGGGTGTGCCATCGACCATTACACCGAATGTCCCAATGGTGGCCACGCCCCCTCTAGACAACTCGCATAACCTGGTTAACGATAGTTTCTAATTGACCCGTTAACGTTGTTCTTTGTGTACCCCTTGACATAACGTAGACGATACAATCTATTACATTCATATTAAACCAAGTGAACAGGGAAATTTGGGAATTTGGTTGAAGTATTACATTATTTATCTAGCATAACAAAGTTTGCCTATGTTCAAGACAAAGAGAGACTGCCAATCTGATACAGTTGTATTTCGATCTACATAATGTTTAGTGACGATTCCCAAGTGCCATTTAATTGTATCAATTAAAAGAGGCGTTTCTTTTTGGCGTTTTCCAGTCCAGTGGGAGTATGGTAGCTGTCCCATAATCTCATGAATTCCAAACCAAAAGTCACGTTGTCTAACACGAAGTTCAGAACTTCATCAATTCTGCAAACGAGCAATTCTAGTAGCTTCATACGCCGATATCGTAGCAATAGGTTTATAGCCGATAGTACCAAGGTTATTAAACAATTGATAGTACCAAATTAGCAGGTTAGTTTCTACAGCTGGGACGGCGCTATGTGAGGAACGCCCTCGTGAATGCATTCAATGGAGGGGGGGGGGGGAGTAAAGGAAGCACAAGCCAGGACTGCACATTGCAAGTGAGACTGCAACATGATTATCCCTGTAGTCATTCTTTAACTATCACAGGTAACCGCATCTCGAGAGCTACTAGAGAACACTGACCTTTTAAAAGAGACTGGGACACCATGCACGCGGTACACTCAACGTGAAGTAAAACCTGTTGTAACTGACGAAATAGCTACAATTCTACTTTGCCAAACTAACTAACCATCGCGCAATACGTATGATCTTTTACGGAACGATTCACCGTGAAATTACTAAAAGTCTTACCTGGATATCGAGTGAGTTGCCGAGGAGAGTTGGCGGAGGCACCTGTAGCTTGTGCTATCGTGCAGGTAATGAAGTGGGGCCACCAGGAATATGCCCATATATAGGCAAGAATGTCGATGCATAAAATTTCAATGAGAATGTGAGTCTACCCTAGGGGACGTGTTATCTTGTGTTTCGGAACAGCGTC